TGTATGGTGATATGCCAATGCAAGCTTGCCAGCTGTGTTAAAAATATTTGAACTGGGTCCTTAACTTAATGCAACACCTTAAAGTTTTTCAAATTTTATTAATGGTATTTCCAGAAATAAAATAGCTGGCACACAAAATATTACTAGATTACTAACATATATTTGTTAAGATGCTAGCTCTGAATTCGTATTTCCCCAAATGCAGTGTCTTCATTTTTGAGCTATTTACACTTGTCTTCATAAGAAATTGATGTTCTGTACAGAAGAAGATCGTCATATTGTGCTGTAGCAGGAGTACACAGCCGTTCAGAATCAAGGTAGCTTCTCATGGGTACTTTTACATAATAGCTACCATGGGGCCTTCCTTTTTTTGAAACAGCTACCATAGTGGGACTGGTTGATCACAAAACACTAATTTCCAAGATGATATACTGGCGAAGTTGCTTCCAGGTTGCCCATCTCTTTTAGCCCCCAGAATGTCCTCTACCAGTCTATCCCAACCTATTTGGGTTTCATCTCATATCATGAAAATAATAACATCTTGACATTAATTGTTGAATTGCAGTGCTGCTATAATCCTGCTATAAAGCTTCTCCTGGTTTAGGGCTGCTTCTCTTCAAAGTTGTTTTTTTGTTTTTTTATTTTTTAATATACTTAAGGCTACTTCTGCATGTGTCTCAGTATTGGGACAAACAGATGTTTGTGATAAAAATAAATCAGCATTTACTTATCTAAAAATGTCCCTTTAGGGAAAAAGATTATATATTTTAATAAACTATAATAATGTTGTTTGCCAACTGAAGTGCTACAGTAGCACTATTTATTTATATATATATATATATAAATGAATGAATGAATGAATGAATGAATGAATGAATGAATGAATATGAATTTTTTACACTTTCTCAAAATAATCAGAACCCTTTTGCAGATTTCACAGATAGGTAGTCAGCACAGTAAAATTCACTGTGGCTCCCTAGCAACACTGAGAGATTTACAGGAGATAATGTGTAGCCCCCATAGCTGGTAGTAATTAATAATCTTATCCTCCCTGCATTTGATGAGACCTTTTAAAAACCGCCTGCCCACTACAGTCTTCTGTTAGTAACTTTTAAAGTTTAACAGTGTGTTTGTATCTGTCCTGAATCTCTCGCCCCAGCCCTCTTTCCCCGTTCTTCAGCTTCACTAGATAAACCATGATTCTGAGAAATGACATGATGATTTATGGATTTGAAGATTAAGAAAGTTGGGGATTAAATGAGCAGCTGAAGGGACTTGTATAACATCTAAGAGGGAGGAGGGATCATAAGATTGTAATCATCTGTTGAAAAGAAGGTTGGAAGTCACTTACAAATGTATTAACTTTAATTTCTTTTTTATTTTTTTCCCTTTCTTGTTTCTTCTTTTCTTTTTTCTTTTCTTTTTGATTTCTCTTTTATTCTATGGGAAACATTCTTAATAAATTTAATTTAAAAAAACATAAGCCATGATTCTGGTTTATGATAGGAGAAAAATTACCTCTTTCCATTTTTCTCACATCATGCGTAATTTTAGAAGCCTCTAAATATCCTTTTCTTTTTCTAAATTTAACATTTGAAAACACTGTAATCCTTATATAGGAAATAAGAGACTAATCTTTTGGTGAAATTATTTCATGTTGCTGACACTAGAAAATATGAGTTATGGAAATCCATAGATTGCTCAAATTATATTTCAAGCTCTTGATCCAAACTTTGTTCTTTGTATTGTCATATATCAATGTGTTCAAATTTTATCTCTCCTCTCGAATGGAAATGAGTGGTTACCTTTTGACTGATCATCATTTTGGCAGATGTAAAAAAGAAAAAGATTTAGAGAAGCAGGATTAATCAAGAGTCTCATGCTGGCAAAATAATTATAAAACAATTTGCTATCACCTGCAAGATCTCTGAGTGGCAGATAGCCAAAATCTTTGGAACCTGATTGAAGACTGCCTTGTAAATAGTTTGCACAAAATATAGGTAAAAGCTAGATGACATACAGCTTTAAATCATGCTGAAGTACTTACTAGTCACTGACAACTGAAGCAGTTCACTTAATTATGTTAATTTAAGACATGTAGAAATCAAGCTTGAAAGAAGAGAGTTTAAAAAATGTACTGTAAATATAAATAGGTATGCCTTGTAGTCCTGATGTGTTTGGCCTTAAAATAATTATACTGGCAAAATATTAAGTAGACATTTTTGGAAGAAAGCAGAATGGGTCCAGGTGATCATGGGGCATGAGATCACTGGAGTCTGGGGACAGCTAATCCTCAGGAACATTAGGATAACTGTTATTCTTTCAAAGAAACCTGGAGAGATACCATTTACTGTAGTAGTTGAAAACTGACATTGAAAAATACAGCTAACATTTAAAAACGCAACACAGGGTTCCACATCAGTTTAGCTGGTGCCACTGTTAAAATAAGACACTTGGTGATACTGAACGTAGCATGCGACAGATACGAGCTAACTGTAACTCTTTTATATTATATTTATACACCCCATACTGACAATATAATCCAATTGCGAAACAGTATCAGTAATAAATGGTTGGTTAGTGATTTTAAATTCTTACCGTCTTTTTCCTTTTTTTTAATAGATAAAGAAATACCTCGCCCAATGTAATTACAAGGCTTGCATCAACAGCCTTGTTATAAAAGCAAGACTACCATAAACAACCTTGACAAACCGGTCCATCACTCTATTTACACGTAGTCCTTCAGGCTGTAGCCTGGGTCCGCTTGCCGGGCAGCTAGGCTCAGGTCCTGCTGCTGGTTAGGATAAATCCACGCTCCCTGCCGTTTCTTAAAACAGGAAGTGCCAAAGATGGCACCTGCAGCAAGCAGGAGTCCAGCCGAAATAAATCCAATGTAAACCGCTCCTCCTGGCTCATGCTTACCGCTTTCTGGGATAGTTGGGTCCAGAAATTTTGAAATAATCTCTCTTGTGTACCAGGCTGTTGGTATCAAGCCAGATATTCCTGCCAAAATAAAGAAGATTCCTCCGGCAACTGACGTGTGGTTTTTGGTGTCTCTGTCCCCTCCCAGGAGGGTACACTTCATCCCCACTGTAGTGATGCAGATCCCCAAAATGGAGAGAATGCAGGACAAAATCATGGTGGTCCTTGCTGCCTGGATGTAAACAGGCAGAGAGAGGATTGAATATTTCAACGTGCAGCTGAACATCCCAGTACTGTACCATGTGCAGTCCATCCAGAGCCCTTGCATCTGAGTGATGGCTGTTATTATGTTTGAGCCCGTGTCTGCATTCACCTTCCAGTTGGGCAACAGGGTGGCTGCGATCGCACCAAAAACCCCAAACAAGGCTAGGATGAAAGCAAAAAACTGCAGAGCAGCTGATACCATGATGAGGTTTGCCGTCACCTTTTGTCTGCTTGTTTCTTTCCTGTTTTTCTGTCTGACGGCTCCCTAGCCAAGGCTGTAGTTGTCTGTATATGATAGGAGGAGGGGGGAGAGTGGCAGGGGCAAAGGCAGAAGTGAGCAAAGAAGAGTGCTTGCATATGAAATAACCGCTAACTGAATGAATTGCTAAACGTGACCCTGCAGCAGATGAGAAGGCTACAAAAGGACTGAGCAGATGAACACAGGGCACTTGGAGAGGAATGATTATAAATGAGTAGTGTGTGAGAGCAACTGAGCACAAGGAGCTGCTGATAATAAGCCACAGTGGCAGAAACTGTAAATGAAATGGTAAGATGCAAAATTGAGATACGTTCCATACCAAAAATCAAGGATCGGCTTGTGCCCTTATTAGCCAGCTTAGAAGCTTCCAATCCATTTGGTAATATGAGGTAGTTTTTAAAAAATGTAATTCTAGTCATATAAGCAGTATAGGACTTGAATTTCCAAGTGATTTGAATAGAAACTTACATCAATATAACTTCTCAATTTTTTTAAGGAATATTCAGGCTGGAGTTAATACAGTCTTTTCCTACTTCCATTATTTTAATTTAGTAAGTAACTATGCATTTACAGAGGCCTTTATTCTATTATTGCTGTTTTCAGAAGAACAGAGATCAAGCTATTTTTGTAGATGTCCAAGATTTAAAACTCGTGTTCCTATAACTTTAAAATCAATTCATCTTCTAATTTGCTTCATATTAAACACTTCTAGTAAAGAGAAGTTTATCTTAAAGACAAGGGAAATAGTTCCTGAAAACTTAGGACACAGTCCATCCAAAGTAGAATTAAACTGTTGCTAATACTAAGCAGAATAGCCAATCATATCTATAACTTCCTAGTTATATATTTGAGATTTAAATGTGCTCAGTTGGCTCATGATGTCAGGCACTTCTGCAAAAATGGTGATCTCCTTAAATTCTTAGTCAACTCAGTACTGGACAAAAATTGATATTTATTTATGTACTATATCTTTACACTGCAATCCTGCATACATATTCATGGCAATGTACAGTAAGACGAAAATGAAACATAATTTCAAACAAACGCAACCCCTGTCATATTAAAGCCAATATTCCACTTAATGTTTACTTTAACATATACAATATTAGGTATCCAATGACAGATTTTAATTAAACACTCTTATGAACAGCTTTGTTTCTTAAAGCTTTCTAAACATTTCCCATTAAATAAAAATTAAAAACAGTTCTACTTTCAGTTTTATTCCAATTTGGATATTGTGGGCTTTGAAGAGTGAAAATGGGGGTTCTAGTAATGGAAGGGGAATAATAATAATTTTTTAGTCAATGTTAAGATAGTATATTCTGTCATTCCTGTATTATTTATTATTTCATATTAAACTTACCAATTAAATTAGCTTCACTGTTTTCCAAGCCATAATATTGTAGGTAGTTACTGGCTTTGTTTACTTGGTGTCAGTGACTTATACTGAATGAGAACATTGTGCATTAACAATATGGTTAAAATTGCTTCTGCAAGACAGTAAATTTGATATGTTTTGTTGGGAATTCCTTTGTTTTAAATTCTTGCATCCCTTGTGTCTTATTTTCTGCCACAATGTGATAGATCCAGCTTCATCTGCTCATCAGCTGTGATAGGGAGAAAAGTCAGCCCTGAATGATACCATTTAACTCATGGTTTGCTGTTGGTGCTTAAGAGCACTCTGGAGTGTTAGTATCTGCAGCTTTAAAAATTAAATCCAGCATGATCCCAGAATAACAGAGTAGGGTTTTTTTTCCATTAAATGCCAGCAGCACACAAATGTACAAAAATACTGAAATTCCATGTTTTAACAATATTTAGATGCCATAAAATGCAGATGTCTAATAATAAATTTTTGTACTTACTGATAAAGGAAAGGTTTAAGATGCTTCCTTGGCAGCAGCAGTTGTAAAAACACAACTTATACTGAGTGTAAATGTCTCTGTTCCTCATGGAAAATTGCATTAGCTACTTTATTAACCAGAAATAGGTCTATGGTGCTCCTTATGCAGCAGTGCTGCATTCCTCGTCTTAGTACCATCTACCAGAGTATAAAGAGCTACTTTGTTTAATGAATTTGCATTGGAGAAAATACGTTGCTTAACAAAAGCAAAGAGATTATAGAGAAAATGCACATAAACCCTTAGTTCTAAACACACAATGATTTCCAGATCCCAAGCTGAATAATTGGCTTGGAGATCAGAACAAATATTTTAAATGGAAAAAAAAATTATACGTCCCAGTTCTGTTTTTAGAAACTGTTTTCACTACTGTATAGGAAAAAGTAACTTTATAGAATGAGCTTCACCATAACTGAAAGGCAGAATTAAAGGGTTTTATATTGCCAATCAGCCCTCAGAATCCCTGGCTTCCACCGCAAGGTTCTAGTTCCTATAAGTAATCATTGTGAGAAATATACATAAAGTAATAAATATGTATGGCTGAGTTTCACATACCTGCTGCTGGTAGCTTGCAACCTTTTCTGGTTCTTTCTGTAGAGTAGTTATTTGCCTTACTCTAAAGGTTGTTTAAGGGGGAAAAGCAGTGCTTGCAGCTTATGTGATAAATACAGAGCATAGCCGAAAAGGTTCTGACAAGTCAACAAGAAAAAGCTATAAAGCAAAGAAATGTCAAGGGAAACCTGCTGATTATGCAATGTGATAAATAGGAGCTTCCCTTATTGTCTGGACTCTTCTGTCTGGAAAAAGGAAATCGCTGATTTGTAACACAGGGAAGATAGAAAATCAGGTGCTCTCCAGATGTTTTCGATTATAAGTGTCATCAGCCCAACTAAAATGACCAGGGCTTGAGGATGCTGAGCTATTGTTTCAAACATCTGGTGGGCACATGATTATTTCCCCTTCTAACAAGTGAGCATTGACAGCAACATAGTTACTACTATGTGTCAGCCCTCCCAGGTAAACCAGACAGGAAACATGACCAGATGAGCTACTTCTATTTTATTGTTAGACTACATTAACAGAATCTTGCAAGTCTAAAAGTACAAATCTCCCACCATCCCTATTTACTGCCTGATCAGTTAGGGCAGGTCCTTTCTAAGTTTCTTCCTCTGCCTGTTACTCAGTTGCAGGCTTCTCCCCCTTTATCTGATCGTTCCCTAGACAGGATCTCTTTCCCCGTCTTCCAAGGTCATTCTCCCATCTCATCACACTGGTTTCATTAATTTTCAGGTAATGGGGATACAACATTTGCTGTTGCATAAAGTCTTCATGTTCTGTTTTTGAAAACTCTACTATGCATGATTTCTGCAGCTCCTGTTAGCCTGATTGCCAACAAATTCTTAACAAGCAAAGTTGTTGTTGATGTTGGCCTGTCTCCTTGTGGGCAGATCATGGGGCAGATCTATTACTGTATAGCAGGAGCCATAACATATTGATACTTGGGAGTACTTTTAAGCTCAAAATAACTCTTAAGAATGAATCCCTCTCCTTCTCTTAGCAAAGGTAGGAGCAGCTCATCCTTGAGGTTGTCTTTGCATTGTTAGAGCTCAGAGGTTTGATGTGACTGGTGAGGTTGGCAATTCCTGAGAGAATTGTCTGGAAGCAGATCCAACTGAACTTGATAAGACTTAACTTTGAACTGTTTTTTAATTAAAAATAATTTCATAGAATTGAAGTATTTGGTGTAAGGTTTTTATTATGGTCACTGACCAGAATTCTGCACATTAACAAACTAAATAAACAATTTCTGCTTCAAATAAAATACAAACATAAAACTGTAACTCCATCATTGAGATGATGAAGATATAATGAGGTTTATAGACAGTATAGGTAGTCCTTGTTTAGCTACCACAATTGGGAGCAGCAACTCAGTTATTAAGCAAAGCAGTTACTAAGTAAAACAGACCTGCGAAGGTCATAAATGCGAGGATTGGTCACAAAGTTACTTTTTCATCATTGTAGTAACTGAAAGGTTGCTAAACAAGGCAGTTGCTAAATGAGGACTACCTGAATAACAGAACTGTATACAGACACTATAACAACGTTTGGCACATTCACTGTCAATGATATGACAGGAATAGCCATACATAATATAAGTCAGAATTGCCTGGGTATTTCACCAAATAGGGAGTAATAAAATGGGCCATTGCATCCTTAGAGAAGGTGCAATCAAACAAAACATGGAATGTAGACTCAGTGGGTCCTTTACCATAGGAGCACAGTCTTAGCTGCTGAAAGGGCATTAATGTTAATGCTCTTCTAGGTTTGAGCATAGTTACTTGATTTAAATATTTTGCCAGCAAGAGAGCGCTTGACTATTCAAAAATACATTCCTGAGTAGGGCAGTTTGATACAACTGACCTTCCAAGTCTCTAGCATGCAGATTGAGTGTAGTTATCGCTTAGTCATATCCCATGGTGAAAATAATTTCTTTCAAGAACCAGTGGTGTTACAAGGATGTTCTTTTCCACATTGATTTATAATTATCTGTCATAATCAGAGAACATATAACTTCTGGAAGAAACAATTAAGTTTACCCAGTGGATTATAATACAGATCGGTGCACCCATCTCCACTTTAATCAGACCAGCCTTCCTCCCTGCTGCCATATTAGGTACTTAGCTTTGAGTAAATATTCATAGGATTTAACTATTTGGTTTTAACAGTACTGAGATGGCTTGCTCTTCTGACTCTGATCCCTGTCTGCCATTCACCATGTCCCTGAGGAGGAACTGTGAATGTCAGGATTTCCCAGTTCCACAAGGAACCAGGCACAGAGCCTGGTAAGAAGTTGAGAGAAAAAACTATATATGGCATTTTCTTGTTTCTGATTTCAGAGGTAGGTATCTGAAAAATGTGAGAATTGCAGCCTAAAATACAAAAATATAAATGTAGCTAACAGAATTCAAGCCAACACCAAGTAACATAACAACAATATGCAGAGGATTAAAATTCCTGGGCAAATAAGATCTTTACTTGATGCTAAAATCCCAATTTACTTGCAAGGCAACCACCCTGGGGAGACCATTCCACACTCTTGGGCTCTGTGTGCCTATAGGGAATTGTAAATTCATCTTCTACCAGCTGTAATAAGCATATTATGTAACCCAAAATCAGATTTAAAAGATGAAAAACTTTTCAGTTTCTGTTTAACTTTATTAAACATTAATATATAATGAAACTAGAAACTAATGTAAGTTTAAACAGTACTTAAAACTGAAGGTAGGAGTCTAGCGGCTTTGTTAATTGATTTATTATATTGTTCTTTCACTGTGTATTATTGTGAAACAGAGATGGCTCCTGCCCTAGGAACTTTTTTAATTTTAAGCTGTCAATCCTAAGGGAGGTGATAAATGGAGAAATTGAGGAGCAGAACTCCAGTGACTGCTTCCTTTAGCAAACCCAATGGGGAAGTGATTCAGCTCCCCCTTTTAGTCCTATGCTGTGCCCCCAAAATGTGGTTTTGAACTATGGAATGTTCCAGAGCATTTCTGGGAAGACGTGCAGGGTCTCCAGGAGAGAGACAGTAGAAAGTCCAACTGTTGAAATGGGCTTCCACTTGGAAAGATGTGTATTTCTTCAGAATAAGGACTAGGACAATGTAGAGGGATCCGTTTCATGTAAAAAGAGGGGGAAATGTAAAATGAAGTAACATAAGCTGGTAGTGTCTGTAGGAGCATATGATTTGTGAAACACTGGAGAATTTGAAGTGGTTCATAGTGAAAAACGAAGCAAAAGAGCTATCATGTTCTTTTTTATATTAAGAATATGAGTGTGTCTTTATGTGTTTATATATATTATACACACACAGAAGAAAACAAAGTACATACATACATACATATATACATACACACACATAGACACACAGTTTTGTCACTTTTTTGTCTTGTTTTTGCAGGTAGCTCAGGGCAACCTGGATAATTCTCTGTAGATAATTGCCTACAAGTTTGAATGTTGTGCTGTCCTCTTAAGTTTTTTTTTTTTAACATTTTTTTAAAAAACACTTATTACAAAATTCAGGGTTATTTATTTCTTTTAGAAGCACATTACAGCACCTAACAGAATTCATGATTTTGTTTGCATTAATTTTTAAAACAGAGTTGATAGAAGGTACAGGATTTTTCCTCAGCTAGGTGAACCTGCCTTTTGTGTGTGCAGTAAATATTTATTCTCTGTTAAAACTATTTGCAAAATAAGGTGGTAAAGCTACTATGATTATCAAAAATCTGTGTGTTGAAACAGAGCTTGTTAATATACATAACTAAAAAATAGGACATAATGTCAGTAATTTCAAAGCGTCCAATTACAAGTGAACAGTAATTTCCTATATTGGTTTCCATGGCAACATAGCAGCTTTCTAAGTGTTCTGAGAACCCAGACCCTGTAATGGAGTAAACAGTAAGATGTGTCTTGCATTTCCATAGGATGAAAATGTGCAGGTCTTATTGACGCCATAGTACTTTATTTCAGCCTATTTTTATTTCCATCTAAACGTATGTCTAATTTATTTGGGAAAGAAATCCACTAATTCCTAATTCCGCTGCCAGGAGGACTGTTTCTAACCAAGTAGAAAGAAAATTGAAAGGGATGTCCCTTTCCCAGAATACAGAGAAATTCGTCTAGTTCTAGAAGAGTTTGCCGTACAATAGGGCTACAAGAACTGGGCAACAAAAATCTAAACATTAGATGGCAGAGAAGAGATACATCAAACTATATTATCTAGAGGTTAGTTGGACTTTTGCAGCCCAGATCCAGTAGTTCTAATTTGCAAGGATCCATGACAAATGTTCGTTCATTTTTAGTAGGATTTTTATAATGTCTCTTTCTCTCTCTCATCTATTCCGATTTCCCTGAAAGCATATTTTATTTTATGTAATGAAGCTGCAGGAGGTCTGTATTGTGAACTTGGAAGCTGCAGATTGGTCAATAGAATTACATCTCCTCCTTTAATTGGGCTATCGGATTTTAAATGACTTTTTGTATACAAGTTTACATTAAATTTAAAATACTTCCTTACTGCTATATATATATTTTTTAATCACAGGTAGATGTGACTGTTGTCCATTTTACACCACTAGTGGAACCAAAGATAAAACAGCCGTTTAAGCTGGTGGAAAAAGTTGTTCAAAATATTTTTCAATTCAGAAGAAAATTCTGCCATCACAGTGTACAGTAAGAAAACTAACGAAGTATAAACTTTAAGAACTGCAGTTGGGGGGGGGGGGGCTCACACTTGCATGTGATTCCTTTAAGGAATTTTCTCATCATTTGAATGCTCTGTTTTTCTTCTCTTCATAGCTCTAAACCTTTGACACAGTAGTAATATATTTAGCTGCTCAGGTGGATTTTTAATAGTAGCACTGGCTGAATGCAGATAGCGAGGAATTACCAGCTGTGTTGTTCTGGTACTTAAAAATAGATACTGAAATGTTTCACATGTATTAAAGCAGCTGAATGCATCACAGCCATGCAAACATTCATGAGTAAATTAACTTTAAAGCAAGGCTACTGTCTACTTTGTAAATAGTCTTAGAATGGAACAGGATGCAAAGAGATTCAGGGGTTATTGACTTACTCATATTGTCTTGGTTCCTTGTCAGTGAGGGCCAAGTCCTCCCAGCAATGTATTGGTGGATAAAATCTGATAAGAAATGTGAGAAGTTGACCAACCTTTTCTGTACGTATTGAGAAGTCAGGTTAGAATCTGCAGTAAACACACAGTGAAAAACTGCATTACTAGAGACGAGAGAAAAAAATAACCGAGTGAGGTTTGTGACAAAAATAAGGTTCAGTCACTGAAGTTTCCTTCTCTGAAATAGTTGCTTCTCGGTGCCTTGTAGTCAGGATGAAATCTGTTTTTTTTTTAAATCAGAAATTTGATAAAAGGCAGGGCAGAGTAGATAGTTGGCAACATCCTCCTCTGCAGGCATAGCTTATTTCTCCGCCTCAGTCTTGCAAGAATTTAATTGAAAGTTTTGGCACAGGGG